AAAGGGGGGCAGAGGGTGGATAATAGACATCCAGGAACGGATGGATGGATTAGAAACGGAAAAAAAGAAAAAGATAAATAGAAGAAAGACGGAAAGAGAAAGAGACATGGAAGACTGGATATCGATTCCCACCGAAGGGGGTGAGAGGGTTGCAGTGAACCGAAAATCGCACAACGGTCGAATCTGGTGCAAAATTGATCCATAGAGTACGGAGCGGGCAGCTTAGCGGAGCAAGGAAACAGGTACCGCGGGAACATCAGGGCCGTCCAACGGAATGCGGGATCTTGCAGGGCTACGACCCGCTGTCACCTCTACCGTTCACCTCGCGGTCGTCCGTCACTTCCCTTAGCCTATGTTTTGCCTTCTTATGTTTGTTCTAAGTTCGATGAACTTCATTGGCCTAGGTTCGTGGTAAATCAGGCCGATCGTGATCGCGTGACATCGATCCAATCGTAGGCGGACATAGGCATGCCTGAAACCTGAGGCCTACTTGGAAACAGGAGTTCCGCATGTACGAAGCCAAGACATCCTAAGCCCCACGGAATTCTTCCAAGAACGATCGAGCCTGCTCGCGACGGCTGCCTTCCATCACCCCCGCGAGAAAACAGACGGAAACGAAGGAAAACTCCTCAGTAGCGAAAGAGCCGCCTCGACACTCAGATGCAAGTCCATCTCATTACTCCTGTTCTATTCCTTAGCTCAGCGGCTGGAACCAGTCGATCGGCGAGCACTTCCACGGTCGTCGCATCTTACCCATCAATTCTCTTTCTTTTGTTTTTCTTTGGCTCTGAAATATCTCAAAAGACAACTTGATGAAACACCGGCTTCGCAACTTTCTAGTGTGGACAAGCCCTAAGGCGTCATAATTTAAGTTTTTGTGTAATTTCTGGGCAATTTTGATCCGTCTGGATTGACTGCGTTCGGAAACCATCACGGCACAAAACATTGCCTTAATTTAGTACAAATCGAAATTCGAGAGACGATGACAATCACCTGATTCAAGCTGGAAAATTAAACTGGACCTTTGTCGTTTCCCGGTCGGAATTTCTTTTTTGGATCGAGAATGGCTTTCTTAACCGTTTCCTGTTTGGCTATGGAAACAACCGCGTTTCGCCTGTAAGTGCATCTCGGCTGGAAAGAAAACAGCTGCAATCGCAGCAGGGATGTTCCGACTGTGAACTGACCTGGAAACAGCTGAAACGTATCTGAATTCACTGGCTGAAAATTTCTGGTCGAGATTTCAAACTGGGCAAGCATCAGCTGAGCTGATGCCAAGTATCTGCTGACAATCTGCGCTGATACCTCGTCATAACTCGGATAGATGCGGGATGGATGGCGTGAACCCAGGGGGCAAGCGAGTGTCATAGATAGATCGTGCATTAGCACCAGATCATTTAGGTGTGGCAGATGGATCGTGCATTATCATTAGATCATCGGGCTCGAGCCGGTCCCGCTGAGAGCCTCTGGCCTTCCACGATGACGGTTCCTCGCGAGGCCCGTTTCGTTTTTATTTCATTTGCCATTGTTTTATCTGCAGAAGAGTGTGATCGTAATGCAGAAACGGTTTCTTTTGGGATTCGACACACGTTGGGCACGGAACTCGATTCTCTTCTGACTCGATATACGAAGCGCAAATACCCGACCCCGGCTCCGACGTCCGGTGGAAATGTTCCAGTCGGACGGATTTCCCGGGCTCGAGGGAGTCTAATGAGCACTGCAGAGAAAAAGAGCGAGATCGATTGGGAATAAAAGAGAGGGAAGCCGGAAGAACTGAAACCGACTCGATCCTGGGATCAATTATTAAGCGATGGAATCAATTATTAAGCGATTCGTTTAGGGTTGAAGTGGTCTCCAAAAACCAAAGCAATTAACGGGGGACATTTTTCGGATCGAAGCTGGAATCTATTAGAGAAAGGAAATGGATTCCTGCGACTTCGCTCGGGGGCTCCGGATTTTCTTCTTCGGGGAAGATACAGGCTGGCAAGGAATGACGAATGCAGATTGATGGGGTGTGCCTTCCGATCTTCTCTGCAGATGTTTCGAGGCTCCACCGACTGGTTCCGGGGGGGGGGGGGGGGGGGGGGGGGGCATTTAGGGTGGAACGTCGAGACGGGAGGATTTTCATTTTTGCGTTTGGGCGTTGCAGGTTCACGTTGCCGTGAAGTGCGCCGGCGTGAATGCGGCCGACGTCCAGGGCATCGACGGGCGGGACAAGTTGTATCCGGGGTTGCTCAAGCCTCCGTTCGTGCCGGGTTACGAGATCTGCGGGGAGGTGGTCGGGACGGGGAAGAAGGTGGAGGGGCTCCACGTGGGGGATCGGGTGATCGGGCTCGGGAAGGAGGGTCTCGGGGGGTTTGCGCAGCACTGCGTCTTGCACGCCAAGGTGGGTCCTCGAGGTGGAGGCGGGGGTCGGACGGGGGTTGACTGGTGCTTTTTGCAGGACTGTTGGAAGATCGACCAGGGCGTCAAGTTCGAGACGGGGGCGTCGCTGCTGGACTCGTACGTCACGGCGTGGATCGCCTTCAATCACAGAGCGCATCTCAAGGACGGGCAGACGGTTTTGATCTCTGCCGCGGCGGGAGGCCATGGGTTGGCTGCTCTCGACATCGCTGCGAATGTGTTCAAGAGCAAGGTTCCGTGTTCGCTTGGTTGAATGGGGAATGCAGGTGTTGGACCGGGTCGAACCCGAGTTTCTTTCCTGCAGGTGATAGGGTTATGCGAAACGGAAGAAAAGGCTTCCCTCGTGAGGGACATGGGTGCATGGAGTGCCCTGACTTTCCACGATAGTCATCTCAAGAAGAAAGTGAAGGAGGTGACCGACGGCAAGGGGGTCGATCTTTTCTTCGACGGTGTCGGAGGAGAGGTATTTTCTGCTTCTTCGCGGTGGTATGTTATCTTCACGAGTGTCCTTTGATTTCAACCTTCAAATTTTCGCTTTGCCAAAATTCTCATCTGTTATATTAGCGTGAGGCACGAAGGGAAGATCATCCTGAGCGGTTCGGCTGCTCGTAACATCACGAAACTGGAGCCAAAGACACTGCTGAAGAAAGCCATCTCTCTGACGGCAGTTTCTCTGACTCACTATCGGATCGAAGCACCTGAGCTTTATCGGTGAGTCATTGTCATTTTTTTTTCAGTGTCTGCACAAGCGTGCTTCATTTACCTTGTCTGATCCAGCCAAGCCTGTGAGGAAGTCTTGGACCTGTTCAGCGAGGGTTTGATACGCCCTCTCATCTCGGAACATTTTGAATTCGAGGATGTCAATAAGGCCCTGGAGCGTGTGAGAGGGGGAGGCTTTGCTGGAAGTGTCATTCTTCACTTCAAATGACAACATGTTGGACTAGATAGTTGCTAACTTTTTCTGTTGAATGTCTGAATTATATTTGGTACTTGAAAAATAAATTTGATTGCAAAAGAATTGCTCAACCGCCCACTAACATCGGCAAACTGGACGAACGAAGGTTAAATGGTGGCGACAGGAAGGCAAAAAGCAAAGACTAAGGCAGAGTTCAATCAATCTCTTCATTTTCAGAATAGAAAGTTTGTACAAATGCAAACATGTATTTCATTCACAAAAAAAACCAGGAGGTAGCAGAAAGAAGACGGATCGATGAAGGCAAATGCGGGATTGTCTGGATTAAATCGGAGGAAGGATGGAAACAACTAGCACCATGTTTTGAGTAAAAGGCAGTGAACACAAACCAATATGGCTGCCATGTCGCCCATCTCATCCCACAGGAGGCATCTGTCTATTGCACTCACCCGATCAGGGTCTCAGGATTTCTGTTCATTCCATGGGACGTACAGTGGCAAAAATCTTTCCCTCCCATAGGGGAAGAACTTCGTTGTCATCTGAGATCTCTTCCTGAATGGCACCTGCACCAAATTCTTCGTCGTCTCTCTTGAAGAAGAAACTGGATGGAACCAAATAAAATCGAATGATGGATCGTGGAAAAAGACATCTTCGCGGAAGGCGAGACGCACGTAAGAACGAGACTCACCGGTGAGGTCCTTTTCTCGGGAGTATTTCTTTGAATTGGCGTAAGGTGACGTGCTTGCCGGGAAGCCTGTGTCTATATGGAACAGGTTCATCACAGTAGAAATATCCCACAATGGTGTAGATATCACTGGATGAAGTTATTCCGGATCCCTTCTTCCCCTTGATCTCCTTAGATGAACTTTCCTTCCCCATCCTATAGAGCAAAACCTTTTCCTTATTGTACAGAAAGCAAAGGAAAAAGTAGACCGTAATCGGAGGAATCCCGTACCGATGCCGAGAAGGCCCAGGTGAGATGGACTTTGAGTGGTGTTTGGTTGAAGAGTTTCTCTCACTCCCTCCTTCTCCCTTTACCCCAGTGTACTTTTCACTTTCCAATACCCATGATATCACCCTGGAAGAAAAGAAGACAATCTCATTTGTATACAATGCCTCAGGAGTTTCATCGACTTTCACTTTCGAGATCGTGACGTACTTCTCATCGGCAGACACTGGGAGGACCGAAAAGCTTGTGGTAGTGGTTGCCCCACCGGAAGGAGGCATGGCAGAGTCCGAGACCATGCTCACGCCGCTGTCCGTACACTCGGGTGGGGCTCTCTTCCCGTGAGATGAGGAAGAAGAAGGTGGCTTTGCCCCTGGACCACTCTTGTAGAGATACTCTGACATGGTCTTGATCTTGGGAACCAACGACAGCCGCTCCTGGGATCCCGTCAAGTCCGTCGCGTTCCCAGAATCCAAGGAGACCGTAGAGATCAGATCCTGGAATGAAATTTCCACTCATTGTGATTTTGGAAAATCCAAGACAGGCATAAATTGTTACAGCTTTCTCTGGAATCTGAATGCTCTCTGAAATCTCGGTCGATGAGAACTTTTAGACCGACTAAAATGAATACGTATCTCACCTTCTCCTTTCTTCGATGATGATGTGGGTAATGATGGTGGTGATGAGGTATGAAGGTAGGAGGCCTGCCTGAATGAGGAGGAGGTGGTGGAGCTGGATCTACCAGCATGCCACTTGGCAGCTGCAATTACCCAAAATATTGCCATTATTGATCAACAAATCCTTTCAATCCATTTATGCCACCCTACCCATGACAAAACTCTTACTTTGTTCCTGGCTGGCAGAGGAGGAGGTGGAGGAGAGGCTGTTCCCCCAGGAGGACTCCTTCCAGGAGACGGTGTCTCTTGCCATACTCTTGAGACGTGGTCATCTATGAAAACCAGGACATGTCACTGAGATTTACAGGAAATTTCAGTATTCATGAATGAAAAATTGAGCTCCAAACTCACCAAGAATGGACTGGCCAGAGTCAGAGGTAGCAGACAGTTTTTCCCTCATGGCTGCTTCCAGGAGGAACGGGGGAAGTGCAGCCAGAGCATGCTGACGACGCCGCTCTTCTTCGCCCAGTGCCTCGTCCTGGATAAAACCCATAAGAACCCTTTGTATTCTAGGAACTTTCATGCATTCAGAAATGATGGAGTAGACACAAAGAACTGAGCAAGATCAGAAAAGATTAAGCCATATTTTCATCTGATAGCCCTCATGAATGCCAATCAGGGTAGATGACAGGTCATCATTTCAGAAAGAATTCTCCATGTCATTAGAACAGGCTGATACCATTAATACAGCAGAAGCAGCTACAGATATATGCAAGGCTGTATAACATAATGATACTGCAGCAGTACTGAATTGTCCCATGGAGGAATAAATTACATCAATATGGAAACATCCAGAAAATGAAATATACCAATACTGTCATATTTCAGAATCTACAGGTCCATGTATAAAGAACATCTCATGACTAAATAATAACATTAAAAAGTGACTTCTTCATCATAACTAGAGCCAGATATTCTGTTTTCTTGTGAGTAGCCTACACCAATTGTTTGCCCTAAACAGAAATCTTGTGCTATCCATTTGGCAAATCAGCAGTTTTTATGACCTTAGTGAATGGAGAACAACAATAGCACAGAAAAGCAACATCTAAGGCATCCCAAGAAATCAAGCATTAATTCTCCGACCCAAGTACACAGGGTTACATGTTTAACTTTATGTTTGGTCTACCAATTCCAGAAACACATTATTTCAATTTGTATATCTGCTTGACCATAATTTCAAGAAAGCACAATGCATTATTTCTGCATGCTTTCCCCCCCTAATTTCTGGAACTCTGAACACAACTTAATGTTTCAGTAATTTAATATGATGCACATCAACAAAAAAGACAGAAGTGCAAATATGACAGAATCAGAAAAATATTCTAGCAGCAAAGCACATCACAGTAACTTTAAAAAAAAAGGTAATTTTATACAGCCCTTGAAATTATTGGGTAAGAAGCAATAAAATCACACTTACATAGAAACCTTAACTTTTCCAAGAGGATGGAAGGGAAAAGAAACCCATGGGCAGAATCATGTCCCAAATACTTACATCTTGGAGGCGCCGGAAGGATTCCCCTAGCCTCTCCTGAGCCTCCTGTTCTTTTTTCACAGCATCTAACTTCTTGATGAGTATGGCAGCAAACTCCTCAGGAGACATGTTCATGGTCTAACCATCAAAAAAACAAACTCTCAAACATCTACCAGCTTCACCTACTCCTATCAGACTTCACATATTCTTTGAGGAACTGACCTGCTCCTTGGCTATCCTCAATGTCCGAGGAATGAATGCAAACGGGTTATGAGGAGTTTCCTTGTTCTGCATGGCATTTTCATGTATTTGCTTTTGCTGCCTTCGAATTTGTCTCCTGGTCAATCGCCCACCTAGGGTCCCATCTCTGTAAAAGCAGGCACAACATTCTGAGTAAATGACTCAAAATCAGCAAGTACAAAGAGCTCAAGTCTCCAGAAACAACAGGTACAAATAGCCCAAATCCCCCAAAACCAAGCATGCAAATGGCCTAATCCCCCAAAACAATGAGTACAAATAATGTGAGAAGAGTTCACGTAAAACAAAGGGGTTTTGGTCTCAAAACTACATTTGATCATAAATATATATTTCAAAAGGTTGCTGAACTATAAAATGAAATAAGGTTCTTAGAACTTGAGTAACAGCCTATCATCTGTGCAATGTCAACTGAGACAATGCATTAAAAACACCTGGCTGCTTCCTCTGTGCACAAATGGTAGAAACCCCAGTCCAGCTGAGCAAGCAGACACAAACACTCCTTAACCCTTAAACTACTAAGCCTTGAAGTTTCATGTGTTATAACATAGGCTCTGGGTCAAATTTGACCCAGCTTGGTCGTTAAAGGGTTAAACACTATGGAGAAATAGTAAAAACTAGGACTCTAAAGATAAACTTTTTTCAAACTTACATAAACTCATCTAAGCATTGGGAACGAGAGATCCAGTAAATTTCTAGTTGAAACCTTGTACTATATTCTGTTAACAGAGTAATTTTGAAACAACTTATAAGGTCAGCTAGAGGTATTAGGCACATACATCAGGCTGTTCATGCTTGAATAAGAGTTGTATTACTGAGTTCAATAAAAGGACAACCGTTTGAAACTCAAATTTAGTTTTGTTGATCAAAACCTGGCAAACTATATTCAAGGGGAATAATTTTGCACTCAATGGTCAGTAACTGATCTACCAAATACTGCCTACTCACACAAACTCCCAAGGAAAGCAATAACTCTATGCATCAAAAATACATTTCAAAGGCTAAGCAAAACAACGAAGAAAAAAAAAAGGGCTCTGAGAGTCATAAGAGAAAGAAGGCAAACTGAAGTAAATCAAACAAACTCAGAACTCACATGGATGAGCTATCAGTTAAGGAAAGGGTATCATCAGTGTGAGTTCCAGAAGAGAAACTCTGGACCTCAGAGTCCTGGCGTGACACATTGGCATTTGAGGAATACGTGGCATGGTAGGGGTGCATCCTATCTAAGGTTCCCTGCACCAAATGCCTACAACCGCATACAAATTGGAGGAACTCAAGCATAATGCAAACCAAGGGTTACAAACTAAAGCACTCCCAGAGCAAAAACCAACATGAACTAAAATGCACGAATCTCACCTTGGTCGATACTCCAGGCTGTACCCTTCCCGAATGCTTTGCGTAGCAAGGATGGTCTTTTTCGTCAACGGTAAGGTACTCGTTCGTGTCGGGAGAGGCGGAGGGGTCAACCCCAACGTTTCTGTCTCTTCAGGTACAGTAGGCAAAACATCCACAGAGGAGCTAGTATCACAACAATTATCACTCTCTATCGCTTCACTTGAGGCACTGACTCGCGAGACTGGAGGGTTCTCGGGGCACTGAATCCTCGCCACGTGGGACAGGTACACGTCCGACTTGAGGAAGTTCGGGTAGAGGCCACTCGTCATCACAGATTCCACCTCGGCCTGTGCAGCCCGGAACACAAACTGGTCCAAGTCGGATTTGGCTGCCATGCGAGCCGCCAGCTCCTTCCTCGTCACCTCCGACACCTGTATCTCGGAAGTCTTGATGAAGCGCTTGTAGATGACCCGTATCAGCTGCGGGACCTTGGGATCATCGGGCCCGGTCTTCTTGAGGCCTTCACAAGCGAACCAAAAGTCAAGGATGTTTAGGCAGTCTTCACTCTTCAAAAAGGTCTTGAACAGATCGACTCCATCCGAGTCATTGAGGAGGAAGTGAAGCCCTTGGGCCCATTTCAGGTACGGAGGGGTTTCGGTTTCTGTCATCTGAGGCGAGGGGCTCTCGTCCCCTTCTGGTTCATACCCCAGGGATGCTAGAAAGGCAGAAAACATTCCCTTTTAAAATCACAGCCTTGAATGTCCCACATACAATACAAACACAATTCGGAGAAAGGTTATATCTGCAAAGCCTATGAATTTCCAATCCAGATGAATCGCCATTCACTCGGACAAGTCCTTCCCTCTAGCAATAAAGCAATTTCCTTTCAAACTTTGTCAGGAAAGCCACTCTCACATACCAAACCTTACACCAAATGGAAACTGATACAACTTTTCTAAGAGGAAATTCATAAATGGGGAAATGTAACAGCAAGTCATTGAATGTTCAAGGGAAAATGACCAAAAATAAGAAAAATGTCAAGTTCCTTACCACAATGGTACTGTATCACTAAACCCATAATGATATGCAATTCGTATGATTCAAATAGTCAGTTGAAATGTTATGGCAATTTAAAAAAGGCATTATGGTTACAATCCAAGGAAAGTGAGAGGGGTGAATTGAACTCAATGAATTTCTTTCAACTATATACATGATCCTTCATTTTATCTCCCTAGAACATCAAAGAAACCTTGGCAACAAATCAAGAAAGCTAAAAACTATAGAAATTCAAATCCGTTTTAGCATTTGACAATTTTTGGCAGCAGAATATGACAAAATCATCCGGAGATTTTAAGAGTGGATTTTTGAACAGAGAACTATCCGATAATGCTGCTTTATTTCCAGGAAATGTAGTCAGAAATATTTTTTATGGTGGATTTTTGATCAGATAATTCTCTGTTCAAAAATCCACCCTAAAATAATATTTCAAACTACATTTTAAGTTTACTATCACCTCGCAACTTTTGAGATGCTCAAAAAATAAGGGTTCAGTTTCATTCTCGTGCAAATTTTTTTTTTTTACGCCCAGCTGATAAAACTGGATCCAATCACGTAGGAGAAAAAAATATATAACGGGCACTCACTATCGGACGGGTGGTGGGATCTCCTCGGGACCCCTCGCTTCTCGTACTCGCTCCTCCTCCCTTCCTTCCCGGGAAGCGAAACGGACATGATCGCGCCTCCGGAGGCTCGCACCCTTGCGATCGTGGAGCGGACGGGGTCGTCACCTGAGACGGTGGGGAGACGCGGGGGCCGGTCCGTCGGCTCCGTCCCCTCGCTCGTCCTCATTCACACACACTCACACAAACGGCCCAAAGGGACTAAGGCTTCATGAATATATTGCTTTCACGTAAGGCATTGCTGGCAGGCCATCTGTAATGCAAGGAAGACGTATGGTCGGCTCACAGTGAAGACTTTATCCTATTTTTTTTCGGGTGGTCTGAAATCCCCATACCGAGGGCCCGGGAAACAGAGGGATTCTTGTGCGGCACGGAGCCTCGCACGGCACGGAGCCGAGTCGCAGAACGCACGACCATGTATCAGGGCGGTGAGGTATCTCGGAGAGAACTGGTCAAAAACAGGGTCAAAGGGAGGCCTTTAAATAGGCCTTAGAGGATCTCGCGTTCTCTCTCTCTCTCTTTCGCTATCTCTTTGTGAGGTCTCCCTTTGACTCCCTGTAATATCTACAAAGCCAAAGCAGATAAGACTGTTACTACTTCAAAGGCAAAAAGGGAATTATGATTTTCAAAGGCTGCATTACATTTCCTGTCGAGAGACAGGGCTCTCAAAGGGAAGCCTAATGGAGCAAGTTCCACGCCACAAAGCAGACACGCTAATTGACAATATTCCCTCTCTTCCTCGGGCCTCAGGTAGGCAGCACGGCGAACGAAACAAAGGCGACGGGGAGAAAAAAAAGTGATGAACGAGAGGGAAAAGGCGGCGGCGGCTCCCTTTGAGCCCCGGTTTCGTCCGCGATCCTCGAGGTCGACAGACCCGGGCCCCGTCGCACGAACGGATTCGGTATGCAGATCCAATTATCGCGGGAAACGGGGAAGAAAATGGGTCGCATCGCATGGCCGATCGCAGAGTCGGCGCCCGACAAAGCCGCGGCCGCACGTCCCATCGATCCGGAAATCCACACGGCAACACACCTTTCGCTCGGGCAGGCGTATCGAGGAATGGGAAAAAAAGAGAGAGAGAGAGAGAGAGAGGAGAAAAGACCCGCCGACGTAGGAGGAGAAGAAGGGCAGGTCTATAATTCGGAGGAATTTCGGCTGGGGCCCCGGAGCCCCCTTGCCCTGGCAGGCATAGCTGATCTCTGCGTGACGGGATTTGATCAAAGGGGACCGCTCTCTCTCTCTCCCCCCCCCCTCCTCTCCCTCTCTCTCACCAGGCCTGGCGTTCTCCCCCTCCCCCCTCGAGCGTTCGTTGTGTGTGAGAGCCTGCTCGCTCGCTCTCTCTCTCTCTATCTCGGTCCGAACCTGCCTCTGGCCAAAAGAAAAAAAGAAAAAAAAAAAGGGGACCTCTCTCTTTTCTCCCCTCTCCGCCATACGCATTCCTCGTCTGTATATAACACGTTTGATCGCTTCCTCCCCGGTTCTCCCGTCTCCCCTCGTGAGATAGGGCACAGGGGGGCACAGGGGGGCACGGGGGGGGGGGGCACGGGGGGCAGGGGTCGCAGGATGAAACATGCTTTCGCACGGGGACGTAAAAAAACAATACCGGATCCTCGAGAGGTCATTCCGCAATCCAGAGGTCGTTCCGACGAGGCCGAGAAACAATCGGACCGACCGAAGAATGCTTTCCTCTGGAAAACTTTCCCGTGAGACCGCGCACGGACTCGATCGCCATCGGGCACTCCACACGGGACGAGGACGGAAAAAAGATACCGTGAGCTACTTAGCACTTAGGCGTATCTCGCACGCGCGCACCGGTGGCGACTCCGTTCGTACGCGCCACGCGGATCGCCGGGGTCGACCCGCGGATCCGGGACACATCCGCAAGGTCGAGCGAATCGGGAACGATCGAGTCGCCTACGCGGCAGCGTCGGTGAAAGAGAGCGACACGGCGTCGCCGAAAACCACGGCACCGACGCAGTCTCGTCACGTCCCACCCCGACGACGACGGGGCGCCCACGGAACCGGCATGAGCCGGAACACCCAAGCACGACCGACCGTTTACCACACCGCGACACGCACGTGACGAACGCCCCCCGTCCATCTGTGCGGACGCTCCGAGCGAAGGCGACCGACTGCGTGAGGAAACCGGAGGGGCTCACGCACCGGAGGAAGGAGGATGGTGTAGGAGAGGCCAACGCATTCTCTCTCTCTCTCTCTCCTCTCTTCCCTTGAAGCCGAAATGCCGCCCGCCCCCCCATTCCCCAGTGGCGGCGGCTCAATAACCCATAACCATCCCCGCTTTTAATTCCATTCCGTCTCACCCTCGCCCCTCGCCCCTCTCGCACAAACAGCTGCCCGGTCGGACGGCGGAAGAACGGCCGCCCGGCTCGGAAACGTAAAACCTCGACGGATCGTCGCGGCTCGGAGGAATCCGAGAGATCGAGAGCGGATGATCCCAAAAAAAACCACCGGTCGTCCGATCCGATCGGCGATGAGACCGGCTCGAGCAGGGGACCGACGCGTACGCGTGCGGACGAGAAGACGCTCGCTACGAAGGCGGCGACTGCCGCAGATGAAATATGATGGCCGGATGGAACAGCTGCAACTGCCGAAAAAAAAAAAACAGACAGGGAGCGGAGACTCCACGTCCGCCCCTGGGACCTTCAGGAGTCATAAACGCAGATAAGGCGGCGAGTCAAAAGCGCCCCTCGTAAAACGGGGGGGGGGGGGGGGGGGGGGGGGGGGGGGGGTCAAGAAAAAGGGGGGGGGGGAAATGGGGGGGGG